TTTTTTTTTTTTATATTTGTGTTCGATTACTTGTTTTAAATTTAAATTTTTTGGTTTGGTTCGATGTCGTTTTTATTTTACAAAATAACTTAAATAATCGAACTGTCAAAATTATATAATTATATATATAATACTTATTTTTATCCAAGTATAATATAAAATGTTAAGTAAATATATTAAAAATATTAATTATATCTTTATAATGTAAATAATAAACTATTACGATTATTTAAGTTAATTCAGTTAATTGCCCAAATAAATCGATTATTTCGATTTAGTTTAGTATGATTCGAGTCAAATTATTAAAAATTGTATGATTTGATAAATGTGTTATAATCGCACAGTAGTGTTAGACGAATTGCACATTAATTAATAACAGAATGCACCAGATCGGATGAAACGAGAAAAAAAAATCGATTGTATTTTTTTTCTCACAACTTCGATTCGGTTATTTTGGTGTTGGCATTTTTGTCGTAGAGCTCGACATAATGGATATTGTGCATTTTGTTCGCGTTTGACATTTATTTTTTTATTTTTATTTATAATATAAATAATAAATTATTGTGCATTTTACTAATAATATATTGTGCAAATATTCATCATGTTTACCAATTACAAGTGTAAGAACATATCAAATTTCTAAAATTACAAATAGATCCTCTACATTTGTCTAATTTCCAACAATAGTACCCAACTCAAAAAATTGAAATCTGAATCCTAACTCAAAAAATCCAAATCTGATAATTGTACGCCTGCACATCCCCGTTTCTTCCGGACGGCGCCGCCGCCGCCGCCTTCTTCTCTCCCGCCGGTCTCCGCCGCCGACATGGAGGCCCTCGCCGTGAAGGACGCTTGTCAAACGGAGTTCTCTTCTTTCAGAATTTCTGTCGGCGACGGGAATGGATGTGCTGTGGCGGTGATTGGCGGCTGACGAGTGCCGGCGCGGCGGGCGAGTGGTGGTTCTCTCCGCCGGCGAACTGCAACCTCCGAGGAGTGGTTCTCGCCGCCGATGGTGGCCTGTTGCGGCGTCGAGGCAAAGCTGTGGTGGACGGACGGCTGAGGTGAAACGGCGGACTGTTGGCGGAAGGCGGAGGCGGGTGGCGACCTGTCAACGGCGGGGTGTTGCTGTGGCCGTCGAGCTCGCGCCGTGAGCTTTGGACGGGCTGAAGGCATCGGCTGCCGGAGGCGGCAGCAGGTCCGTCGAGGGCGACGACAGGCCGGCGGGGTTTGCTGCGGTGGTGGGTCGTGTCAGCCGCCGGGATGTAAGGTGGTGTTTGCCTGAGGGGATGGCTCATCTTCTGTTTTTCCTCAAACAAAGGCAAGGAAGAAGCTATAGATTGAGACTGGCTTACTTGCTCTGTAACTTATGTGTGTGTGTGCGCGCGTGTGTGCGATTGTGATCTATTCAATAAATGGTATTTTTTAATTTAAATGTGGTAATCGTAATATTTTGCATTAGTTAACTGTGATAATATTTTTTAATTATTTTATCATACAATAATTACTATTAATATTAATTAATTATAAATTCGCACTAAAGATTTATAGAAGTTACACACTTATAAAAACTTGATAAAAAGTATTCAAGCTATTTATATAAAAATTAATATTTTCTTTTTATATTTATTTCATTAAGTATTTTTCTTAAATATGTATTTGTGGTTTTAATGGCATAGAAAACCACTTAAAGTTGCGTAATCAATTACTATAATAATAATTTAATATCTTTTAATAATAATTGGTCACGATCTAATTTTATAATAGTTACATTATTTATTACATTTTATATAATCTATATAGCAATTCACATATAAGTGAGTAGTTTATAATTATATTGTTAGTGAAAGGTCAAATTTATAAAATGTGAATTATAATGTTTTTTTTTTCTTTTTTCTTGGGTACTGGAAGGGAAACGACGCTTTCGCTATCGTTAGATCACGATCTGACGAGGGTGGGACACGTCAGCCTCATCGTGCTGTAACCACAAACCCGGTCCCCTAGAAGGGCTATCAAACTGGTGTAAACCACCCGGCCCCTTAGCCGCTAACAAGGCCATAAAATCAGTGACGGAGTTAGATCACGATAACCATGAACGAGCACAGTCTTCCATGAACGACTCAACAAATCCTGAATGGCCGTATGAGCCCCCCATGCGGCCCATTGGTTTCCTCACGGTGAACCATCTCTATAATGCTTTTGTTATCGACCTCCAATATGACGTTACGGGCCCCAACATCCCACGCCAACTGCAGGCCCTGGAACATACCCCATAACTCAGCCCCAATAATGGAGCAGTAGCCAATATTCATCATAAAACTACTGACCCAATGGCCAAGATGATCTCGAAAGACGCCCCCCGCACTAGCCATTCCCGACGACGGAACATAGCTTTCATCCGTATTAACCTTTAACGCACCTTTCGGCGGAGATGCCCAGGAGATCCACCTTGTTTCACGAAGAGCACTAGCCCCAAGCCGTTGGCTATCCATCAGAACTCCTCGCACTCGAACAGAATAAGACAAAACCTCACGCATCCGACTATCCAAGTTCATTTCGGTTCCTTCGAAGACTGCGAGGTTTCTCCATCGCCACAAACGCCAGGCGGTAAGACCAAATATAGTCACCCAATCATCCGCTTCGGGAAAGAGACGGCCCGATAGGTTCTATAATAACCAATTACGATGATTGAAATAAAAGAACCTCTGCCACTGGGCCCGCGGGACTAACCTTTGCCACGTTGTCCGAGCCACCTCACAGTCGCGCAGAACATACATCGCACGGGGTACACACTAGTATATATTTAAGACGTGTATGTAAACTTTTTTCGTTGATTTATATCGTATTCAACAAATTTATCATCAAATGAAGCATCAATTTTCTCATATGTATAAATATTTAATCATCAATTATATGCAAAGCATTTACATACTCCAATATTATATATAAATGCATATGACTTTTATCTACCCGTACCATTTCAAAACAAAAGAATTCATAAATTATTATAGTACAGTAACTTTAGAAAAGTACTCAAACGCGCTCATTAATAATTACGTTTGGCTCTATGATCTGCATCATATACATGTCATGAAAAATGACTAGTTATATAAGAACCCTATCTTATATTAGAGATGACCGTGACATATATTATATAATTATATAAATAGTGGAGCTAATACGTTGTATCTTAATTCTAATTACATCAAATGACAAAACTCCAGTATATTAATTTAATTATTTTTGCTGTTATTATAATTGTAGAAATATAGAACATTTTCCAATTTTTTATTCGGAAATATGGAGTCCAGTGTTTTGTTTGTTCGAGCACTTAGATGTGTGATTCTGAACCGCCTTTTAACATTTTCCCATTAGGAGGAACTTGCACTGAAATTTCCCAGTAGGAGGAATTTGCACTGAATTTCCACGAAAAGAACAAAAAGAGTCGATCAAAAGTCAAAACAATACTCGAAAAGAAAAAGTCAAAACAATACAAATCTATATATATATAATAAGAATTAACATTTTTCAAAAATAGTAAGCAAAAAAATAGGGAATATTAATTGCATTCTATTTTTTGTATGTTTTTTTAATTTTTTTAACAAAAAATCAAGTAGCATTTAATGCTAGCACAAATCATGGTATTTGTTATATAGATGCATATTTGAATTTCAAACTTCAAATAAAACATGCCTAAATGTATTTCGAATTTTTTAGGGAAAAAATTTAACAAACACGTTAAAGATGTCATACAATACATATATTTATATATATTATCTTAACATATAGGTTAATTAGTTTCATATCTAAACAATATATATTTAAAAAATATATAAACAAATATAATAATTTATCGTACAATACAGACAAATATATAAACAATATATTTATATACAAATATAATAAACAATACAAACAAATATACAAACAATATATAAACAAATATAAGAACTTGTCACGTGTATATTTCGTACAATACATATATTTGTATATATATCTTAACATATAAGTTAATTAGTTTCATATCTAAACAATATATATTTTAGGAACTTAAAGATTCATAACATTACTGACGTCATGTATATTTATAATATATTGTCACGTACATTTTACTACAATTGATAACTTTTTTAAAATTATTTGAATAACTGGAGGTTGATTTGTAATTTGAATTTCAAATTCATTCAAACATTTAAAGGAAAATATCATAAGAAGATTTTTTTGATACATTTCATTTTATCTCAACTTACATATATCACGTTCCTACCTAACATTAAATTTGCTTATATCTTTTAAAATTAATTACATCACTAAATAATATTAATATACATTACATATTTATCATTATATAACAAATATATTACTTCTACAAGTGTTATAAATAATAATGACATTATATGATAATAGATTTTTTGATAGATTAATAATTAAGTATTATGATGAACCAAAATATGTAAAATTATTATTATTTTGTATTAAAAAATAAATATATATGTTAAAATATTATTTATAATAATATATTGGTTCATCATGCTATTACAATAAATTTTATAATAAAATAATACGAGTATTATACGAGGAACAAGATTACGTAAAATTGTTATTTTTCTTATGTCAAGGAATAAATATATATAATGAAATTAAATTTATATTATTATAAACATGTGAGCAAGATAATATATTAATTAATTTACGGTCTAGCGCTACCACTACCAGGCTCAGGTTTAATGTCTCGACAAAAAAGATGACGTTGATGAAAGAGGTAAAAAAATAGATGATCAAACTCTATTACTTTTTTAGGCCTTAACTGACAAGCCTTATTGTCCACTCATTTAATATCTCCCGTGAATCACACGAGCTACTTAACAGACAAACTCTGTGGAAATGACTCATTTAATATTTATATCCCGTGCATCGCACGGGCTACGTACTAGTAAAAAAAAAAATAGCGTTTCCCATTACGTCATCAATACAAAAACCCACAGGGGCAAAATTGTAAAACCATCACTCGTCATTCCCCCGCGCCTTTTCAACTGCCAAACGCACCCTATAAAAAACAGCCCAATAAAATGGAAAAGAAAATAAAATAAAAAAATCGAAAAATAATAAATTCCTGAAAAAATGGAGCTGCATAGAGGACTTCCTCTGCTACATCAGCAGTACAGAGCTCTGTTCGTCAAGAACCTGCTCCTCGCATGGCGGAACAAGCGATCCACGCTTATCCAACTGTTCTCCTCTCTCTTCTTCATCTTCCTCATATTCCTCATCCAGGAGGCGATTCGGTCGCGCTTCGGCTCCTCCTCCTCATTCGAGAGCGTTGCCGACCCGGCGCCGCTGGTGGCGCCGCCCATACTGCCGTGCGAGGACAAGTTCTACATCAGATCCCCGTGCTTCGATTTCGTGTGGAGCGGGAATAGCAGCGCGAGGGTTAGGGAGATTGTGCGGAGGATTAGGGAGAACAATCCTGGCCGGCCTATTCCTGAGGAAAAGGTGCGAGCTTTTTCATTTTTCTTGGATTTATTTATGTCTTGTTTATGTGCGTGCAGTTATCTATTTGTTTGTTTTTCTGCAAATATAAGATGTGCATTTGTCCTGCTGTTGTGGATCGTTTTTTGAAGTCAACCTTTTCTTTTGAAAAGAAGTATGTTAGGTCATTTGAATGATTCAATAAAAGGGAAATTAGTTTAGCGGCTCACGTGGACAAATGCATTACTCTCTTGTGCTTTCAGTCATGTTATAATCATTTGTGACTATCAATCTGTTGTGGAAGGATTTGGATCAATGGACTTGTATATATTTCAAAGTTACTTTTAAAATTTGTTGGTGTTGTTGTGACTTGTTGTTGTGCTTTTTTTTTTATTTAATTATGACTTCATTTGGCAACACTGTATGATTAACTTGTTTAAGACTTTCAGATTTGAAATTTATTCGATATTTGTTTAAATGTATTGCATTTGATACCGAGAGCTATAAGCAACCGATGAATGGATTTTCGTTCATCAGAAACTTAAAATTATGAAACATATCTGAGTGAAGATTTGATTGTAATCCAAATAATCATAACAAACAAAGACTGGGGGGAGTTAAAGAAATGCTCATTTTAGTGGCTTATTCTTCTGATATACAGTGAATTTTTTCAGTTCAAGATTATTATATATTAAAGAAGACTACATAATTATCTCTAGGTCTTATATTATTTTACGTAAAACCATTTGTAATAAGCTGCTAACCATTACCTTCTGTACTGAAATATCTCCTCCAAGAATTACAATTTTAGGGTGATGTTGGAAAAGAAATTGTAATGTGATGTAGCTGTTACTGAGTAAGAGTGAGTGGACTAAGTAATCGTGATTTGCAAATAAAATGATTGTAATTTATGCAATGTTTTCTTAGTGGAATTACGACATGAAGTTATTCATAATATAAAACTGATGGGAAAATATTGTAGTTAACTATGTCATTGACTAAATATTGAGTGGTTCTGCACTATTTTTACTTATTCTTCGCTTAATCGTTGCTCTCTGAGAAATTGATTGGTTTTGTTTCTCTCGTTAACTTTTACTGTAGAATATGGTTTTCATTTCCATTCGATCTACCATATTTCTTCCCTATTTGGTCATCAATCTGTGTTCTCTTGAGATTAAAAATCTTCTTTGAATACTTTTGTCCTTGAGAATGGCCATAATAACTAATCAAAAGTTTTGTAACCATAACATTTAGCCCATGTGAAGAGTGTGCAACTGCATCTAGAAGTAAAAGGTGAGCTTTTGCTTAATGTTTGAGCAGGTTAGGTCATTCACAACTCCCACTGAAACAGATGATTGGCTGGCCAGCAATCCTATGTATTGCGCTGGGGCACTCCATTTCGTGGATAGAAATTCCACTGTTATTAGCTACGGTCTACAGACTAATTCTACTCCAGTTTCTCGCCGAGGAACTTATGAAGATCCAACCTTTAAATTTCAAGTCCCTCTTCAGCTTGCTGCTGAGCGTGAAATTGCGAGATCTCTTATTGGAGGTATTGACTTATGGTTGGATTCTATTAACGTAATATGATGTTAAAATTTCTCTAGTTCCTTGGCCTTAATCTCACCCCCTTTCATTTCAGATACCAATTTTAGATGGTCTGTCAGTATAACGGAATTTGCGCACCCTGCGCATGAGATTTTTTCGGCTGTGCAGAATGCAGGACCAACTTTTTTCCTGGCTATTGCAATGTTTTCTTTTGTTTTCCAGATTAGTTCTTTGGTAACAGAGAAAGAACTCAAACTTCGCCAGGTATTAAATAATATATGTATTTTGAGCTCCACACAAGTAACTGAAATTACGCGCTTGGCACCTAAGATTGACAATTTTCAAACTACTTTTTGTGAACAGGCCATGGCAATGATGGGTCTTTATGATACAGCGTATTGGTTATCTTGGCTCACATGGGAAGGAATTGTCGTGCTTCTTTCATCCCTTTTCACAGTTCTTTTTGGGATGATGTTTCAGTTTGACTTCTTTCTGAACAACAGTTTCGCAGTCGTCTTCCTTCTGTTTTTTCTTTTTCAACTGAATATGGTTGGTTTCATTATCCATGACATTACAAACAATCTTTTTTGTCTTTAAGTTTTGAGTAACAAATAATGTGTATCAAAATTTTGATTGTAAGAAATATTTTCTATTTCCATTTCCCAGACAGGATTTGCATTTATGCTGTCCGCCTTTGTTAGCAAATCTTCCTCAGCCACCACCGTTGGTTTCTTCATTTTCATTATTGGTTTTGTTAGTCAGGTTCGTATGTGATAATGAAAAAAACTTTTCACTTGGGAATAATTGAGCATGAGCCTATCTTTCTTGATGACATATATCTATTCATTATTTTTCAGCTTGTTACGAGATTTGGATTTCCTTACAGTGAGACATTCTCTAATACATACCAAATTGTGTGGTCGTTTTTTCCACCTAATCTTCTTGCTGCTGGTTTGAATTTGCTTGCTGATGCAACTGCAACTCCTCAAGATCCTGGTATCAGTTGGGATGGTAGGACGCGATGTGCACCAAACGATACAGAATGTGTCTTGACAATGGTATGTCGAACATGGGCAAATGCTTGGCTGCTGAAATTATTCGAATGTTCATATGTGGAAACCTTTTTCTGCTGGCACTAAATTAGTTCGAGAGTTTATATAGAATAGGAAAACAGTTACTGTATATGAAGGTGATAAATAATGAATATTAACTGACAGAAAAGAAATTTCACAAAAATCACAAATATGGAGTTGATATTCACTGTTTATTTTTGTGATCATGACTTGTTACTTATGTGTGTGTTAAACTTTATTCTGGGTCCATATAGCAACACGGACAGAGTGCAAGATGACAAATTCTCAATTGCTTACTTGTGGGACATGGGAATAATTCAATTCTAGTTGTTATTCCATATTTAAATATGGAATTAATTCAATATTTGTTGTGTTTTATCGTCAGCATGAGATCTACATATGGCTTGTCTCAACATCATGTTTGTGGTTTGTTCTGGCCATCTACTTTGACAATATTTTCCCAAATGTGTCTGGTGTGAGAAAATCAATGTTCTATTTTCTGCACCCTGGGTACTGGACTGGGAGAGGTGGAAACAAGTCGGCAGGTATTGATTGCATGACTTTTCTGTTAAACAAATAACGGCTTTGGTTGGTTTTTTATGGTTTCTGAGACTTGAGGGAAATGCCTTTTGAACTTCAGAGGGGAGCATTTGCAGCTGCATGGGTTCAACTCCACCTACTGAAAATATTGTTCCAGATGACGAGGACGTACGAGAAGAGGAAAACTTAGTGAAACAACAAGCTTCAGAAGGTAATGCCAATCCCAACATTGCAGTTCAGATACGTGGTCTAGTGAAAACTTATTCTGGAACAACAAAGATTGGTTGCTGCAAATGCAAGAGAACCTCGCCTTACCACGCGATCAAGGTAAAGTTTGTCTTGTAATTGTTTTTGCTCACATGGAATCTTGTGTGTCCTTACATTTAAACCATCTGCTAATCTTATAAAATATATATATATATATATATATATATATATATATATTTAACCTAAGGATTATTCAGAGATGTCATGTTTTCTTAATATTTCTTTTTTATTTGATTTGCTCTAGAATTGTGCATGCTAAACCATATTCGGGATAATGTATTCATGTAGGGTATATGGCTAAACTTCCCAAAGGATCAATTATTCTGCCTTCTTGGACCTAATGGCGCTGGGAAAACTACCACGATTAATTGTTTGACTGGGATTACACCAGTGACTGGTGGAGATGGTGAGAGTGCTTTTTTATTACCAATTTCCTTGGTATTATCAAGTTTTTTACTACTGCAATTAACTTTTGAATGTTATTTATATTAACAGCATTAGTTTACGGCTATTCTATCCGAAGCTCTACTGTGATGTCAAGCATTCGTAGGATGATAGGAGTTTGTCCTCAGGTTCTTTCTTTTACTGCTCCTAGTGCAAAATAAGATTCCGGTGCTCTTAAAGAAAATTTATTATATGACAGCCGAACAAATCAACGCTTCATGTGTCGAAAAAGAATATATTTCTGTTAATGGTTACTTTAAAACAAAATTCAGTCGCCTAATATGTTGTCAACAGTAAATTAACTCATTTTTATGCTGATATCACAGTTTGATATCCTGTGGGATGCTTTATCTGGTCAAGAGCATCTTTACCTGTTTGCAAGCATCAAAGGTCTGAACCCTGCTTCCATAAAGTCGGTAAGGACTTTGCAAACTCAAAACAGTTAATTGTTGTATCAAACTTTTACTCTCATCTACTAAGAGTAATTCTACCTTTTCTTCTATCAAGAAACAAAGATAATTTTATATTTCTAAATTACAGGTTGCACAAAAATTATTAGCAGAAGTAAAACTTTCTGATGAAGCCAAAGTGAGGTCATGTAGCTATAGTGGGGGAATGAAGCGCCGACTGAGTGTCGCTATTGCTTTAATTGGTGAACCAAAATTGCTTATCTTGGATGAGCCGGTGGGTTCACAGATATAACTTCTTCTCTCTTCTTTTTTTTTCTTATTTTTTTGCTCCATTAATCATCTCTGGTTACATATTTTTCACAAAAGTTATTTATATGAACTCGCAGACTACAGGCATGGATCCCATCACCCGAAGACACGTATGGGATGTGATCGAGAATGCCAAAAAGGGACGTGCGATTATTCTAACAACTCACTCTATGGAGGAGGCTGACATCTTAAGTGATAGAATAGGGATCATGGCAAAGGGCAGACTTCGCTGCATTGGTACTTCAATAAGGCTGAAATCACGATTTGGGACGGGTTTTATTGCAAATATAAGCTTTGTCAGTGATGTTTCTAGTACACAGGACTCTGTTAGTACAGCTCAGCATATTGCTGTGAAAGAGTTTTTCAAATCTGTAAGTCAAATGTCAGCTAGCTAAGAGCCTTTTATTGAAAACATCAAAGGTAGTAACATTGTCTTAATTTGCCGATGCAGCATTTGGATGTTTCGCCTAAAGAAGAGAGCAAATCGTTCCTCACCTTTGTTATACCCCATGAAAAGGAAAAGCTATTAAAGGTAACCAATGCAGGTTATGTTTTTTGCATTAGTGAAATGTTGTTTATTGAAGTTGCAAGATTATGATGTCTATGATCATGTGACACCACTTAATGTGTCTGCTTTTGTCTACTCTGGAAATTAGTTGTATGACAAGTTTTTTTAATACTTGGGGGTTCATTTCATACAGTTACTACAACGATGATTGTATTTGTAGAGTTTTTTGTGAATTCAAAGGAATGAAAATGGTTGGATTCTTCTTAACTGATTTTTGTTTTTTAAGTCGGTCTATTATCGACTTCCATTTCTCATCAGTTACTTCGAAATTTTTTTCTACCTATTGGTTCAGTGGCAAGTTCCAATGACTTTGGCAAGAAACTCAAAAGGTGGCCTGAAATGGACTATGAACTTCAAAATCTTTTGGATATTTGCATAACTTCTGTGAATATGTTGGGTATTAGCAAAAAATTAGTGTATATCATTTTGCTTGTCTACTAAAACATAAATATTTCTTCATTGAGTAGATATGACACTTTTGAAAAATACGGGCCAAGTTATACCACAAAAAATCAAATTCTTCTCAACGGTGCATGTGGCTGGACGACCTAATTCAAGTTTTTTTCTTTATTCAGAACTTCTTTGGTGAGCTTCAGGATAGAGAAAAGGAATTTGGCATATCGGACATCCAACTTGGCCTAACAACCCTGGAAGAAGTTTTCTTAAACATAGCCAAAAAGGCAGAGTTGGAAAGTGCTGCAGCCGAAGGAACCTTTGCAAGTCTTATTCTGAACTCTGGAGTGTCTGTTAAGGTACATAAAGTTGCACTTAGACTCTTGTTTATATTTTACCGAACAAACTCTTCGAGTAACTGTAAAACTGGTCAGATTACAAAAAGAGCCCAATATTTTCGGTCATGTAAGCATGTGAGATAGCAATTAAGGTACCAAAAGTTTTGTGTTTTAGAAATAGTGACCCATAACCGCGAGATTTTTGTCATCCGAGTCTCAAGTTGGTGTAATTTTGTCTAAATGATTGCTTCGTTTTTTCCTGTTTACTCTGAAAATTATACTTAAATGGCAAGATATTCAAACTCTCTGGAATTTATAAGCATAGAAATATCTATTTTAACTAAAATTGTATAATCATGAAAAGTATCTAAAAGTTCAATGATTTATCATTTAAGCATAAATATTACACCGTTAATGGCAAGCCTAATCTTGATTGCCTGT